CTCAATTAAGTACACATATAATACAATATAAGATTAAACCACCTAAATATAAGGTAAGTAATGCACTAAAAATATATAATTATAGCCAAACATCACTACCCCACACTTAAATGTTGCTCGTCCTCGAAGCAACCAACAATTTACTCTATATTGGAGCACTTTATATTTACCCAATCGATGCACACTACACCAATGGCCATGGTTGATAGCAACAATTAAGCTAGAGCATATGCAATCACATACATACTTCCTATAACTCATTCCATTCTTCAAAAGAAATAATCACAACGAAGACAACATGCTCCTGACAATCCTAGCCTCAAAAACTGACTTAATGTCACAATGCACCCGTGGCTTGAACGCTCAATATCCTAGAGAAGTCTAATAACGTTACCTATCCCTCATGAAACCATGTGCCCTCACAATAAGAATGAAAGAGTAAGTTGAATCCACACACTTAAATCAAATGCTCGAATATATTTGAAGGACTCATATATATATCAAAGAATATCACTCACTCTCACAAAAGAAGTCACATACATGCAATTGGTACCATAGGATTGCCCTTAATGAAAACCTCTACTAATGTAGGCTCACTTGGTCTAAAATTAATTAGGACTTTTTATGGTTCTAATGTGGGCTAAGGGACGGGAATGATATATTTAGAAATAATGCTTAACCCTCCTAAGCACTTTAACACGTCACATAATCAACTGTAAGTGCAAATTCTTCAATCCCAATTTTAATTTCCTAACTAAAATCATCCCTAACAACGTTCGCTCTTTTTTTAAGCACTACTTTAATTCATACCCACTAGCAAGAATAAGATATCAATTTATTCAACTAAGTTTTTCCTTCTCTTTTTTCAGATTTTTTTTTTTTTTACAATTTTCGCTAGTGGTGTATTCTTTACAAAATAAGTGCAGCTTTCTTCCTTTTATTGGTTCCACTCGAAAGCCACCCAAATTCCCTCCTTACTTCTTTTAGCGCCCATCTCACTATTAAAGTGCTTTAAGAGGTAAAAGGATCAAAACAACGCCAATTAAGAATAAAAAGAGTATAGGCTTATTTTATTTGTGATAGCAATAAAGCTATCACAAGTGGTTCAAAATGGTTAACTAGGAATATATTTTATTTGTGATAGTAATAAAGCTCGAAAAGATCAAAGAAAGCCTAAAATCATTTTTCAAACCGAACCTCACCTAAACATTCGCTTCGACTCACATACGAGGCAAGTTCAAGACACAAGTACAATGACATGGACTACAAAAATACATGGCACATGACTCACTAAGGACGGTCTCATTCCGACTCTCAAACTAATGCAAATATTCACGGAGCCACAAAATATTAATCATTAAGCACAAAGTGAACATAAGTCAAGAAAATGAGACATAGGCGTCACAAAACATGCTATCCAAATAACCAAGGCATCATAAGCAGTTTTAGCATATAGGGAAGATACTACACATGCCAAAACCTAATATGCTACTATCAAACAAGTCAAGGGCGCCTAGTAATTTCATCTTTCTTCCTCCATTTTTTCCTAAGTCCTACTCTAAAAAATAAAATAAAAGAAAAAACTACCACCCGGTTCAAACTACATCCCATGAAAAAGAACCGAGGCATAAAGAAAAATTACAGAGGATTTTTACTACCTAAAGGAAACTAAAAGACATATTTTTGGATTTTTGTTTAGACTTTAATCCCTCAAGAAAACCGTCTAGGAGATCCATCGTCGGGAAAAGTCCAATATTTCTCACTTTTTTTTTCGATTTGTTTTTTATTTTTCTTATTTAAAAAAAATAGGAGCTACTAAAATACTACAAAACTATGAAAACAAAAATAAGAAGATAAAATCAAAATAAGAAGTTAACATTTTTCTATCATACTACTAATAATTATCTAGAGGAATTCTCCCACCCCACACTTAAAGGAGTGCAGTATCCCTAATGCACAAATAAAGCAAAACAATAACGAGGGTGGACAAGAAACTCCCTAAAAGGCCAAAGGCTGAAGCAATAGCGGCTCACGGGGTACTTAGACTTCCCTCATGCATGGTCCTTTGTATGAGCACCCCACACTTAGTTCTCACCATCTAGCTCATTTTTGCACTCTTCCAATGACTTTGCTTCCTATGCTTATAATCCTACAAAATAAAAATAGACACTGCAAAAATAATATAATAAAAATAAAAAATAAAAAAAACAGTAAAGTTGGGTTGTCTCCCAACAAGCGCCTGATTTAACGTCGCGGCACGATGCAAAATCTTGTATAATTATTGGCAAGTAACACCTTCGACTTCTGACGATCAAAGTCACCTTCATAATAGTTCTTTGCTCTTTGTCCGTTCACTAAGAACATTCTATCGCCACCTATGATGCGCAGCTCAATTGCACCATGTGGAGTGACTCTCACTACCTCAAACGGGTCCGACCATCTCGATTTGAGCTTCCATGGAAAGAGTCTCAACCTCGAATTGAATAAGAGAACCAATTGGCCCAGTTCGAACTCACGATTATGGATATTCTTATCATGCCAGCGCTTGGTCTTTTCTTTATATAACTTGGCATTATCATACGCGCGCAAGCAAAACTCATCAAGCTCGTTCAATTGCATCAACTGTTTTTGACCCGCTAATTCTACATCAAAGTTCAGCTTCTTTATCGCCCAATAGGCCTTGTGCTCAAGTTCCACCGGTAAATGGCATGCCTTCCCATAAACCAGCTTGTAAGGGGAGGCTTCGATTAGAGTTTTGTAGGCGGTCTGGTATGCCCATAGAGCATCATCAAGCTTTGCAGCCCAATCTTTCCTACTTGCACTAACAGTCTTCTCCAGAATCTGCTTTACTCTCTATTTGGAACTTCAACTTATCCACTAGTCTGAGGATGGTAGGCGGTCGCAACCTTATGTTTGACCCCGTATTTCGTTAAGACATTGTCCAATAGTTTATTACAGAAATGGGTGCCCCTATCACTTATCATCACTCTCGGAGTGCCGAATCTTGTAAAGATATATTTTTTCACAAAGTTAACCACAACCTTGGCATCATTGGTAGGAAGAGGAGTGGCCTCCACCCACTTAGACACATAGTCAACGACCACCAAAATGTACTTAAACCCATTGGACGAGGGAAACGGGCCTATAAAATCAATTCCCCACACATCAAATTCCTGCAAGAGTAAAACCCAATGGATTAGCCTTGGTTTAGCGTCTTTCTTTTCGAACAAATACCTGATGGATGCATGGTGATGATGACTTTGGTGACAACCAAATAGGCCTGAAATTTATCGAACGCCCACACTACAACAAGCAACTCCTTTTTCTGTCACAATATAATTTATTTGAGCAGGAGTGAGAGTCTTGCTTGCGTAGTAAATGGAGTGAAATATTTTGCTCCTCCTCTGGCCCAATACGGCCCCAATTGCACCATCACTAGTGTCACACATCAGCTCGAATGGCTCGTTTCAGTCAGGAGCCACTATGATTGGTGCACTCACTAACTTCTTTTTCACTCCTCGAATGCTTTTAGACAAGGCTCGTCAAACGTGAACGGAACATCCTTCTCTAATAACCTGCACAAATGAGAGGAAATGTTTGAGAAATCCTTTATAAATCAGTGATAAAAACCTACATGTCCCAGAAAACTCCTAACTTCGTTCACTGAAATTGGTGGTGGCAACTTTTCAATTGTTTCCACCTTATGCTTGTCAACTTCCAGTCCATCTTTGGACACCTTGTGCCCTAGAACTATACCTCACGTACCATAAAATGGCACTTTTCCCAATTCAATACCAGATTAGTCTCCTCGCACCTAGCAAGCACTTTAGCAATATTGGTCAAGTATTCATCAAAAGAAGGATCAAACATAGAAAATCATCCATGAAGACCTCCACAAATCGTTCCACCATATCGATAAAAATAGCCATCATACACCTTTGAAAAGTCGCAGGTGCATTACATAACTCAAATGGCATTCTCTTAAATGCATAAGTGCCATAAGGGTATGTAAAAATGGCCTTTTATTGATCTTCCGGGGAAATATCAATCTGATTATACCCCGAATAGTCATCAAGGAAATAATAGTATTCCTGTCGGGCTAACCTATCAAGCATTTGATCAATGAAGGGGAGATGGAAGTGATCTTTTCGTGTAGCATTATTCAACTTCCTGTAATCCATGCATATTGACCAACCAGTCACCGTCCTAGTTGGGATTAATCCATTTTGTTCATTTACTACAACAGTCATACCCCCTCCCCCCTTTTAGGTACACATTGGACAGGGCTTACCCACTTACTATAGGAGATACGAAATACTATACATGCGTCAAGACACCTAATCACTTCTTTTCTTACCACCTCTTTCATGATTGGATTTAGGTGGCGTTGATATTCCATGCTAGGCTTGTATCCCTCCTCCATGAGTATTTTGTGCAGGCAGAATGCAGGGCTAATACCCTTTATATCATACATTGTCCAACCAATGGCATGTTTGTGCTCCCTCAGCACCCTTAATAGCTTTTCTTCCTGCAAGTTAGACAAATGAGAAGAAACAATCACAGGTAAAGTGTTAGAACTTCCCAACTATGCATAATGAAGATGAGATGGTAAAGGTTTAAGTTCCAGTTTTGGGGCCTCCTCAACTGAGGGTTTAGGGGGCGGGGCCGATTGGTGTATTCATAAGATGCATCCAGAATTTGCAACATCTCCTCAACCTCTTCTTCAAGTTCCAAATGATTGAAAAACATCAATGCCTTTTCTAGTGCATCTTCTTTAAACGCACTGGTCTCCATGATTGGTTCATTTATCTCCACCACATAAATCATGGCAAGGTCCTCGTAATGACGAGGCAACTGAATGGCTAGATATACATTGAAGATTTCTTCTTCATTGTCTACACTCATGATCATCTTACCTTTTCAGACTTTGACAATTGCATATCCAGTGGCCAAGAGAGGCCGTCCCAAGATGATAGGAACTAACTCATCAGCTTCATAGTCTAGGATGATAAAATCTGCAGGGAAATAAACTTCCCAATATGCAGCAAGACGTCCTCAATTACCCCCTCAGGATAAATATAAGATCTATCAGCTAACTGTAGTATCACCATGGTGGGTCTTGGAGCTCCTAAGCCCAATTGTTTGAACACTGACAATGGAATCATATTGATACTTGCACTCAAATCACACAAAGCTCTACCTATATCAATTTCACCAAGCCTCACAGGGATGATAAAACTACACAGATCCTTAAGATTTTGTGGAAGCTTATGTTGAATCTTGGAAGTACACTCCTCAATAAGTGAGACGGTATCAAACTCAGTTAACCTCATTTTATTTACCACTATATCCTTAATATAATATGCATATTTTGGGACATTACGGAGCGTGTCCACCAAAGGGATGTTCAAGTGTATCTGCTTCAGCATATCTAGAAATTTGTGAAACATGTGGTCATCATTCTTATTTCTCAATTTTTAAGGAAAAGGGGGTGGCACCCTCTCTGATATATGCTCAGACTCTGTTTTGTTTTTCTCATATACCTTTACAGGTTTTGGCACTCTTTCTTCTTCGAGCCCAGACGACTCCTTTTTCTTCTTAGGGACTTCTACCAACTCTCTCCCATTTCTCAACGTCATTGTATTGACTTGAGGATTTTTCTCTGTATCACTTGGGAGAGCTCCAGCATGTCTAGTGTTCTGATTGTTAGCCATTTTCCCAAATTGCCTTTCTAGATTTCTTAACTCTGTGCGCAACTATTGATTATCTATCAAGAGCTTTTTTATCATGTCAGTTAAACTTTCCTCTGCTTGCTGTAGGGGTTTAGGCGACTGATTGTAATTAACTTGAGGCCTGTTATTCTTATTTCCACCCCAAGAGAAGTTAGGATGATTCCTCAAGTTCGAATTGTATGTGTTACCATATTGAGCATTTTGATTCATCGGCCATCTAGCTTGTTGCCCCACATAGTAGATGGATTCAGGATTCATGGGGTATATGTCACTTGTGTGACCTTCATCACATAACTCATAGCAAGTAGACATTCATTGCACATGTTGCATCTATTGTGCTTTGTGCATTGTCATTTATTCTTCTGATTTGCTAATCTCGCTATATCTGCCCTCATGGCTGAGAAATCATAAAGCTCAATTACACATGTTGCCTTCTGTTTAAGTGTTCTTCGTGGTTCCCCGTCTCATTGTCAATTATTATCATTAGCAGTGAAATATTTTAGCAGGATCTGAATTTCACTATACAGTCTTGGCATGCAACTACCCCCACATACTGAGTCAAGTTTCATCTTTGATGTCTCGTCCAACCCATCAACAAAAGTGTGACCTAACACCACATTAGTCTGACAATGATGTGGGCAATCTCTGTGTAACTTTTTGTATCTTTCCCAAGTTTGATGAAGAGTCTTGCCATCTCGTTGTTGAAATCCAAGAATGTGGCTCCTCAGGGACTTTGTCTTCTTAGTGGAAAAAACGTGATTAAAAATTTTTGTGCTAGATCATCCCAAGTGTGGATCGAGTTTGCGGGCTCCTTCTGCAACCATTCTTTGGCTTCCCCCAATAGTGAAAAGGGAAATAGTGTCAGTGTGACATAGTCTTTGGAAACATTCGGATAATTGTAAGTATCCGTAATTTCCAAAAACTTCTGAATGTGCCATTGCGGATCTTCATGAGATAGACCCACATACTGTCCTGTGCACTGAATAAGTTGTACCATGTACTGCGTGAGCTCAAAGTGACACGTGATATCAAGCTTCACTATAGCATGCATCATATTAGCAAGATTAGGCCTTGTAGCCTCGATCACTGGTCACTCTTCGTTACCTACCATCTCAAGTGGTTGAGGTTGAACTACGATGTCCAACTCTCCTTCTGTTCTAGTCTTAGCTTTGACTTCCCTCCTTACCCTTTGACTTCTACTCCTCCACATTCAAGAGAAGAACCTGCGTTATCACAAATAAAGAAAACTAAACATTAAAATTTGAACAAATAACGAATAAAAGCTTAACTTAAATAAAAAATCAATAACTAAGTCCCTGGTAACAGTGCCTAAAACTTGTTGGTTTCCCAAGTACACGCAAGTATACATGGTCGTCAAATAATAAAGTGACTCGAAATTCGGATGTCGAACCCACATAGACTTAGATTAATCATTAACTAAGCAAACTAAAACTAATTAACTGTCCAAAATAATAAAAAATATTGTTTATCTATTAAACTACTTTTGCAAATATTGAACTAGTAATTAGCTAATTTATCAGGGATGCAAACGTGTGTTTTGAATTTTACTCATAGGAGATGAAGATTCTAGGGTTGTGGTCGGTTTATCAATCCTATTAAGTTCAATAACCACACTTGTTAATATAGATTATCAATGGTTGCTAATTGACCGGATCGTTTATATGAGTAGCATGTTCCCACAATACTACTTGCCTATCCACAATATATCAATCCTATATTCCTATGGTATTGAGTCTATCAAGAATGAATATAATACAGTTTTTAACTAAGCAAGACTGTTAGGTATATTCCTATCCTAATCGCGAAATAGTTCCCAAAGCCACGGTTTTAGAAACAAACTCTCTTTAATTATACTCTAATCTAAATATGGCTTTCCCAAGAATAGCATAGATAGTAGGGTGAATTGGTAGCTACAACAATTCACAAGTTAAAACTAGAATTAAAGAAACAACCACAAGATGATAATCTGAATTAACAAAGATGTAATTAATAAACATTAATAATGTTACGCGGCGCCTTCCTGAAGTTCCTTGAAAGGGCAACGTAAGGTTAAGCAACCAATGTCAGTACGGTTGTTGTCCGCCAACTGAGGTCCCCTCCGTACGCTAGACTAGATTGTCAATGCCGTACGGAAAAACCAATGTCATGAGCAATTGAAAGAGAGCAGAAAAGAGAATTGAGAATGAAAGAAAGCTTGATTGCATTGAATGAAAGCTATTACAGAAAAACAAGACGCTGTCAAGGGGGAGAGACACCAGTACAGAGAATTATTTGCTTGCTTGAAAGTTTTGATTGCTTGGTCCCCCTTAATAATGCTTAAAAAAAATAAACCAAAGTTACACGACTAGGCCTATGAAAGCTGAAAAATCACACTTAAAGAAAATGCAGTAAAACTACTCTATATTTACAATGAAAAGGACTTAGTCTTCTACAAAGCAAAAACAAGTCCGTTGGCAGCAACTTTGTCTTTAACATAAGGGTTTGCGTGCGCGACATTGTCTACGCGCGCGACGTTGTTGGCATCTGCCTGTGGCTGGGCGCTGGCGATGGCTATCGGTGGGGCGACAGAGGCACATGCACGCTTGTCACTTGGAGCTGCCGAGACCACGGGGCCGACCGTGGCGACGAGCATTGGGAAGCTTACCAGGACGCCACGGGGCGCGTCCAAGGGGTCATGGGGCATGGATGGAAAGCCGCCCATGACATTCTCCCCTACCTGAGTTGGCGACGTCCTCGGCGCCTTCCTTGCAAGGTAATCATCAATCAGGATCTTGTAGGCTTTGAGGTTTGTTCCCCTCTCCCAAGTATTCTCCTCTGCATCACATCCCTGCCATTTCACCAAGAACGCCTGGTGATCTTTTCTTGAGGTGTGAATCACTCTGTCATCAAGAATAGCTTCAGCACGCCTTTTCCCAGTTGAATTGGGACCTCGAATACTTGGTATTATGAGTTGGCTTCGTGAAGGATCCTCCATGTCTTCCCGAAAAGGTCTTAGGAGACTGAAATGGAAAACATGATGGATTTTCCACCAAGCTGGGGTATCCACCCAGTATGCAACTTTCCCAATGTGTTTTTCAATGGACAAGGGTCCAATATATTTTTGCAATAGGCGAGGGTCATGGACCCCTGCAAACAAGTACCGCTTTAGGATTTTGACCATCACTTTGTCCCCCACTTGGTATTCAACAAAGCAGTGATTCTGATCATCATGCCTCTTCATCCGCTTTTGGGCTTTGACAAGATAGCTCCGCACTATCTACAAATTTTGCTTTCATTCTTTTGAGAAGCTAGCAGCCCGAGGAGATTTTGACATGTTTGGTGCGTTCACTGTGTGTAGGAGTAGCGGTTGCTCTCCGTTAACAATTTCAAAAGCACTTTTGTTGGTACTTGAGCTCTTTTGTGAATTGAAACACAGTTGAGCAGCATCCAAAATCTTTACCCAATTCTTCTGCGATCCAGTCACAAAATGCCGGAGATATTCCTCTAGCATGCCATTGAATCGCTCCGTCTGGCCATCAGATTGCGGATGAAAACTTGAGCTATGACTCAATTTTGACCCGAGACACTTAAAGATTTGGGTCCAAAAATTACTAGTGAAGCGTGAGTCGCGATCACTAACAATGTCTTTAGGTAGGCCCCAATATTTGACGACATGAGAAAAGAATAGCCGAGCTGTCTCTTCTGCTGATATATATTGTGGGGCTGCTATAAAGTAGTATACTTGGAAAACTGATCCACCACAACCAAGATAGTTGTGAGATCTCCGACCTTGGGCAATTCGGTGATGAAGTCCAGGGAAACGCTTTCCCAAGGTATTTTTGGGACAGGTAGTGGTTCCAAGAGCCCTGCTTGCGTCAAGTGGTCTGACTTATCCTTCTGGCATCCTAGACAAGTCTTCACATACTGAGCGACGTCGTCGACCATTTGGGGCCAATAATATGCACGGCGAAGTAATGCCATGGTGCGTTCCTCACGGGGATGACCGGCCAACAAAGTATCGTGGCATTCCGCCAGAAGAGCCCTTCACATATCTCCTCCTTTAGGAACATAAAGTCGGTTCCCTTTCACTTTCAGGAAACCATCTTCGGTGTAGAACTGGCGAGTCTTGCCCTGTCCTACCAAATCAACCAAATACTATGCAGCAGGATCCTTGATGAGTAGATCCTGTATCTAGTCTTTTATGGTGGTGCTTACTTCACTTCCCTTTAGGGCGGCGAGTACACACACCGATGCTAGATCAACTCTCCAACTGAGTGCATCAGCAACATGATTGGTCTTCTCACTTCGGTACTCCAGGTTGAAGTGAAATTCCGCTAGGAGTTCCTGCCACCTAGCCTATCGACCATTCAGCTTTGGCTGGGTCATGAAATGGCTAACGGCTGTATTGTCTGTCTTGACCACAAATGGGGCTCCCAAAAGATAATGCCTCCAAAGGCATAAGCAATGAACGATAGCCAATAATTCTTTATCATGGGCGGCATAGTGCCGCTCTGCATCCTTCATTTTTCGGCTCTCGTACGCTACCGGATGCCCTTCTTGTAGCAATACTCCACCAAGTGCATAGTCGGAGGCACCCGTTTGCACTTCGAATGGCTTGGCCAAGTCAGGGAGGGCCAAGACTGGGCTACTAGACATGGCCATTTTCAAAGCGTCGAAGGCCTCTGCCCGCTTGGGGCCCCAATCCCACGATGTGACCTTCTTGAGGAGTTCTGTCAGCAGCACTGCAATGAGGGAGTAACTTTTCACAAAACGCCAATAAAAGTTGCATAGGCCAAGGAACGACCTCAAGGCGTGGATATCCTTAGGAGGCGTCCATTCTGTGATGGCCTGAATCTTCTGTTGGTCCATCTTGATCCGCCCTTCCTCGATGACATGTCCGAGGATGTCAATTTGTTTCTGAGCAAAGGAGCACTTGGATAGCTTCGCATATAATTCGTGCTCCCGCAATCGGGTTAGGACCT